CCACCCCCTCTGAAATGGACACTTTTTCTGCAGACTCTACACACCTCCAAGTCCCACCCACTTTACACAGGGGTTTTACTTATGTGTTAAATTGCCTTCCCTTTTTCTAGCACTCATTTCCAAAGTGGAACCTCTCCACTTGTCTTTGTGCACAAGCACAAGTCCATTAACTACAGGTTCTTGTGAAAGACTCATGACAACTACTAGATCCTGCTCTGCAATAATTCAAATGTTATTGTCCAAATACATTTACAGAGTACATATTCAGAGGCTGAATAGCTGTATCTAGTATGTGTATGTGTGTGTGTGTGTGTGTGTGTATACACAAATAAGTATGTGTATGCATAGGTTTTTTTTTGTGACATGGTTTCACTAAGTTGCCCAGGGTGATTTCAAACTTTTCTTCTTCTTCTTCTTTTTTTTTTTTTTTTTGTGGTGCTGGGGAATTGAACCCAGGGCCATGTGCATGCGAGGCAAGCACTCTGCCAACTAAATTATATCCCCAGCTGGTTTCAAACTTTCAATCCTCCTGCCTCAGTCTCCTGAGTCCCTGGGATTATGGGTGTGCAACACTGTACCTGGTGTATGTATATAACCTTTAGGATTTGCAAGAAATTTTTTCTTTTTCTTTTTTAATTTGTTCTTTTGAGTTATACATGACAGTGGAATCTATTTTGATATATTTATACAAGCATGAAATATAACTTATTCTAATTAGGATCCCAGTCTTGTGGACGTACATGATGGTAAGACTCATTGTGGTATATTCATATATGAACATAGGAATGTTATGCCTGATTAATTCCGCTGTCTTTCCTAATCATATCCAACCCCCTTCCCTTCACTCCCCTTTGTATAATCCACTGAGCATCCCTCCACCCCCCCACCCACCAATTGTGGGTTAGCATCCACATATCAGAGGAAAACATTCAACCTTTGGTTTTTAGGGTTTAGATTATTTCACTTAGCATGATAGTCTCCAGATCCTTCCATTTACTAGCAAATGTCATAAAGTCATTCTTCTTTGTGGCTAATACTCCATTGTGTATATCTGCCACAATTTCTTTATCCATTTATCTCTTGGTGGTATCTAGGTTAGTTGCATAGTTTAGCTATTGTGAATTGTGCTGCTATAAACATTGATGTGGCCATGTCACTATAGTTTGCTGATTTTAACTCCTTTGGATATATACTGAGGAGTGCGATAGCTGGGTCAGATGGTGCTCCATTCTTAGTTTTCTGAGGAACATTCATACTGTTTTCCAGAGTGGTTGTGCTAGTTTGCAGCAGTTTCATCAGCAGTGTTCAAGTGTTCCTTTCTTCCCACAACCTCACCAGCATTTATTGTTCGTATTCTTGATTCTTGCCATTCTGACTGGAGGTGAAATCTCTGTAGTTTTAATTTGCATTTCTCTAATTGCTGGGGATGTTGAACATTTTTTCATAGATTTGTTGACCATATTTTTTCTTTTAAGAAATGTCTGTCTAGTTCCTTTGCTTATTTATTGATTGGATTTTTCTTTGTGTGTGTGTGTGATATTTTTTGAGTTCTTTGTATAGGATTTGCAAGAATTCTGAAATCTATTGTCAAACATATTTTTTTAAAAATTTTTATTGTTGGTTGTTCAAAACATTACATAGTTCTTGATATATCATATTTCACACTTTGATTCAAGTGGGTTATGAACTCCCATTTTTACCCCGTATACAGATTGCAGAATCACATCAGTTACACATCCATTGATTTACATATTGCCATACTAGTGTCTGTTGTATTCTGCTGCCTTTCCTATCCTCTACTATCCCCCCTCCCCTCCCCTCCCCTCCCCTCCCCTCTTCTCTCTCTACCCCCTCTACTGTCATTCATTTCTCCCCCTTGTATTATTTTTCCCTTTACCCTCACTTCCTCTTGTATGTAATTTTGTATAACCCTGAGGGTCTCCTTCCATTTCCATGCAATTTCCCTTCTCTCTCCCTTTCCCTCCCACCTCTCATCCCTGTTTAATGTTAATCTTCTTCTCATGCTCTTCGTCCCTACTCTGTTCTTAGTTACTCTCCTTATATCAAAGAAGACATTTGGCATTTGTTTTTTAGGGATTGGCTAGCTTCACTTAGCATAATCTGCTCTAATGCCATCCATTTCCCTGCAAATTCTATGATTTTGTCATTTTTTAATGCAGAGTAATACTCCATTGTGTATAAATGCCACATTTTTTTTATCCATTCATCTATTGAAGGGCATCTAGGTTGGTTCCACAGTCTTGCTATTGTGAATTGTGCTGCTATGAACATCGATGTAGCAGTGTCCCTGGTGGCTCCATTCCCAGCTTTCCAAGTAATCTCCATACTGCTTTCCAAATTGGCTGCACCAATTTGCAGTCCCACCAGCAATGTAGAAGAGTACCCTTTTCCCCACATCCTCGCCAGCACTTGTTGTTTGACTTCATAATGGCTGCCAATCTTACTGGAGTGAGATGGTATCTTAGGGTGGTTTTGATTTGCATTTCTCTGACTGCTAGAGATGGTGAGCATTTTTTCACGTACTTGTTGATTGATTGTATGTCCTCCTCTGAGAAGTGTCTGTTCGGGTCCTTGGCCCATTTGTTGATTGGGTTATTTGTTATCTTATTGTCTAATTTTTTGAGTTCTTGTCAAACATATTTCTTTAGCCAAACAATAAAAACTCATGATGATTCACTTTCGTGTGTCCTCTGGTCCTCTTTAAGTAACAATAAAGGGTCAGATGGTTCAGAATAAATGAAAACAAACAATCTGACAAACAAAACCAGCTTAGAGGAGACACTAGGCATTTCTTTTTCTAGGATCTAAGGCAAATTCCAGGTGCTGTCATGTCTTTTATCAATTTCATTTTCTCCTCTGGTTATAGAAATTCCACTCATTCTTTGAGTCCACTTCCCATGACTTCATAGTCAGGATGAGACTAGAAGTGGGTGGGATAGAAGAGAGAGCGGTGGCCAGGGAGAAAACCTTGACCTTACCACCTTGGTGCCAAGGAGAGTGCCTGGTGATTGGGAAGGTGCTAGATAAATCCACGTTGAATGGACGAATAGTACACAGGAGGTGTAATGTGTGCTAAGAGCTAGGCTGGATGCTGAGTAGCTGAACAATTAGGCAATGAAAAAAGTCCAGTATGAGTTGTTCCCATAGAATCTTCTCCATTTTTAAAGGATGCAGAATCCTTGAGTTTTTGGCTTTTAACCCTTTTTCTTTGGAGTTCTTTGGAGGTGCTGTGGGTCCACTTTGAGTGAAGGGGAGGCTCCAAGTATGGGACCCACATCATGTATCTCTCATGACACATGAGAAAGCCTGTACAATGGCAAGTCCTTTCTTCTTTGGTGCCACATGTTTGTGACTGTGTGATTGACTGACTGATAGGTTTGAGGAAAGGCTGCCAATACCCAAGACACCCAATAGGATTCCTTTTTGCAGCGAGCACTTCCTTAAGGCCTTCAGCATTGGGATGGATTTTCATTCTTAATTTTCCAAGGAGCATATTAAATCAATGTAACAAGCCTGAATTTGTTCTCCCTCCCATATTCTGTCTCTCACTCAAATACATTTAAGAGTTTGACAAAGCAAAGGGGGCTTGGTGCAAAAGCCAAATGCTTTGTGAAACTCCTGCATAAGGCAAGAAACACAAACTGAGCTTAAGAAACCTGAAAAACTGCCATAGCAAAAGCCCAGTCTAGTTAGAAAAGGTAGGCATACCTTAACATGATCCACAGAACCACAAACCAAAAAACATTCACCTCACCTCAGAGAAGATTGAGAGGCCAAGAGATAACAATGGTCAATGTAACATGGTACCATGCATGCTCCAGTAAAATGACTGCAAGGACAGAGGCAGAACTGATTTCACACAGTTCATCTTCTAACAACCCAGGAGCTCACTCCAGAGCATGTGAGTCACAAGGCCATGAAAGCTGGGCTGGGATGGAAACAACACACACCAAGATCTGCACTCACTGGCAGAAATTTCACTGGAACAGGCCAAACGCAGACATTTACCAGTGTGCACACTCCCTCCTGGCCACTCAGACTCTAACATTTATTTCCTTGTCCTCCAAGACAAAGTAATTTAGGGGGAGTCAATGGTTACTACTTGAAAATGTGTAGCAATGGCTATTTTTTCCCTCTGAGATATTATCAGTAGTTTCTTATAAGCTTCTTCCAGCTAGGGTTGCACATTTCCATGAAAGTTCTGATTTGGTAGGCAGAAATTTAGTACAGTCATGCACTATATAACATTTTGGTCAATGGTAGACCACAAGTACGACATCTTGGTCATGTAAGATGATAACGGCACCGAAAAATTCCTATCACCCAGTGACGTTGTAGCTGCTGTGATGCTGTAGCAAAATGGACAACTCAGATGTTTGCGGTGATGCTGGTGGAAGCAACCTACTGTGCTGCCAATCACATAAAAGCACAAACATGCAATTGTGTACAGTGTATAGTGCTCGTTAATGAGAATAAATGCCTTGTTACTCGTTTGTGTATTTCACATACCATACTTATTGTTATTTTGGGATAGATTCCTTATAAAATCATCTGCCTTCTCTAAGATGGAATGCCTCGTTGCTCCAGCAGCAGCCTCACACAGCTTGTGTTTACTACATCTTCTTCTCTAGCTCTCAATTTACCCTCATGTTGCTTTGTTCACATGACTGAGGAGCAGCAGGCTGTACATATGTGTAGTGTGTAGGAGGCTGTGTCACTGAGGTTTGTGAAGGAACACACCATGATATTTGCATAAGGAAACCACCTAATGATGCACTTTTCAGAACATGTTCCTGTTGTAAAGTAATATACTATCATTTTGAACAAGCAGAAACCACTCAGCAACAGAATTAATTAATAGAACATGGCAGAGTCCAGCATTAAGTGTATTAGGTGTGACTCACGCTCCCCCTGCCCCACCGTGTGCACTGCTGCTGCCCCAGATCCTATGGGGCTAAGCTAAGGACAGAGCTCCTTACCGTGACTGGCATGGGTGTGTATTGCACCTTCGGACCTGGGGCTCAGGGCGGCTGGCTTGAGGGCAGTCACTGTCATTCACCAGAGTCGTGGTCTTATTAACTATTCGTGTGCATGACACGATGGTTCTGCGTTCCCCTGGAAACCAAACCATAGGGGTGAGAGAGGTTATGGCTGCAAACACCTGGAGAGGCCATTCATTCATATGTACAGAGGAGTGTTTGGGGGCAATTATTGATCACTGTGTCCTTTAAAATGGTGTCATATTGGTTGTGTGTGTGTGTGTGTGTGTGTGTGTGAGAGAGAGAGAGAGAGAGAGAGAGAGAGAGAGAGAGAGAGAGAGAGAGAACTGTCATCTAAGGGTTGAGGTGTATAAGACATGTGGCAGGGGCAGTGTGGGACAGGAGAGGCCAAAACAAGATCAGAAAGCAGCAACACCCCAGATCAGCGGTGTCCTTGGAAACTTCTTAATACACTGAAGCCAAAGTTTTGATTTGTGTCTTTCATTTCCATCAAAGACTGCCAATCATTTGATGTGTTGACCAGGGTGGCTGGTATGAAGGACACGCAGACTTGCATCCCCTGGCAGGCATTCCAGGGCTGATCTGTACTTGTCCACTTAGACAACTTGTACACTTGTGCATCATGTGTTCCTTGGTAGTTTTGTAAACCCATTAGCATTCCTTGGGTATTCCCAAAGCACCCTAAACATTGTGTGGTACAACTTTGTCATGGAGACTGAATGATTGGCAGTTAGAGGGGTGGCTCTGGAGCCAGGCTGTGCAGGTTTAAGTCCTGGCTCTGTCAGGAATAGTGTCATAGCAGATATGGGATCAGAAGTTGGCTGCCATGCTTCTGTGTCTTGAGTTCCTCCAGTGGGCTGCTTCACCTAACCTCCTGATGCCTTGGGGTGCCTCAGTGCTATTAGAGTGAATTAATACAAATAAGGTACTAGAATGGAACATGGCAGGAGGTTAACACTTCATCTGCTATATTGCTGTCATCCTTATTATTTGGGAAGAGTGACAATAAAAGATTAATAGGGAGCCAAGTACAACTCTTTGGATCACAGATTCCTTGCAGGATGTCTTTTGGGGAAATTTGTCATGAAGGAATGAAATAAATATTATGGAGTCCTGAGTTTCTCTGTGGGTTCCCACTGCCCACAACTGCAGCCTTGTGTGACTATGAAAGCTCAGAGCTCCTCTGGCCAGCTTTCAGGTTTGGCACCAGGCCTGATAACTGTAGGCAACTGGAAGTCATCAGTGTCATAAAGGAATTACCATCAAGCCAGGAGTGATGGTGACAGAACAGGTCTCCTAGCCCAGCAGGAGCTCGATCACTGTTCCATCTGGGTGGAGTTTAGTGTGCAGTGAGCCACCCAGGAGGAAAGGTCTGGTTGCAGTCAAAGGTATAGGTGTTGGCTGCTGGATTTGGAGGTTGGAAGAGCAGCGGCTGAAGTCCTGAGGGAAAAGGGGGTTCTTGGGGAGAGATGCAAAGTAGGAGGACCACAGAGCTCATGGTGGACCCCCAAGGCTATACCAATTGCCATGGGCTGCTTGAGGAGGAGGCTGAGAACAAACTGGGAAGTTACCCAAGATGCATAGAAAGGAAATCACAGTTGATGCTGGCAGTATCTTATGGGCTTAATCTAAATGCTGTGGCTTAATTTCCTACCTATGAAAAATGGATGAAGTACTTAGATGGTAAACAATCCTCTACACAATGGGTTTCTGATCAAGGGTATCTTAGCAGTCAGTAGCCATTCAGCATGGAGATAGGTGAGGCTATACCTGGGTTCTACCCTGCCATGACTGCCACCCAGAGTCCTGGTTAACTTTCTATCCTAAATCTATGCCCATCAGAACCCACCAATCCTGTGTCCCATCTCTCATGACCCTGTGGTAAACTACAGTGTACAAAGGGGCTGCTGGCTGAGAGTTCAGAAGAGCTTCCTACTGCTTCTTCTAGAGGACCCAGTAATAAACAAAATGCCTTTTGCTCAAATCAATTCTTGGAGCAGGACAGTCACTGGCTCATCCTGAAGTATCCATAATGGATGAGAGGGGCAATCATCTCTAGAGGTGAAGAAATTTAGGTGTTGAGAGGCAAGTCATTTGCTGAGGTAGGATGAGAAGCTGTGCAGTCAGCTCAGAATGTTTTACCCAACCTGTAGGGGTTCGTTCTGTAGTGGGGTTACTGAGGCAAAAAGCAAAGGGTATCTGGGAGCAGGCAGAGATGTTGTCTGGTGCCCTTCCACCAGGTGATAATAGTTGAAGGTCTATCCTGTTCATTCACAGGGTCAACCTGTCATACCTGTAATGCAGCCATGCACTGGCCTAATCTCTACTCCTAGGTCCATGCCACAGGGAAAGGAGCATTCTCCATACACTAATGTATGGGCACTGAGAAGGCCCTGCTCAAGTGTTCTGCAGACAGTTCTTGGTGGGACTTGGGGGTAAGTTCCTATGGAAATGCAGGGACCTCCCCATGCTCTGAGTGCTGGCTGCAGAGGCCCCTGGGTCCACTACTTCTTCATTCAGCACAACTGCACACCCCACCAGCCCACTGCCCGGCCCTCACCTCCTCCACACTGCACGCTGCACCCTTCCCAGCCGCTGTGGGTCCAGATGAACAAAGCGTCCTGTGGCTTTGCTGGTTCACTTTGATTTTCAGCGGTGTAGTTTACAGGAATGGTGTATTCGTAATGAATTCCATAATTCTGGTCATGAAATAACAGCACCTGGGTCAATGGCAAAATAAAAGGCCATGTTGAAATGGACCAGGAGCCCACAAAGTTTCCAAGTGTGCAAACCAGGCCACCTTGAAGCTGTTTCTCTTCAAGGGGTAGAAAACAGGTTCAATCTAGGGGGTGCTCCTTTATCTCAACCTTGGATTCCTCAGGGCGTGGGGCAAATGCACATCATCATAGGGGACCTGTGTACATGAGGATTTTGGGGCTGAACAAGTCTATAGATTCTTTGTGGCACTATTCCCAGAGAGCTGGTCCATTCAGAGCAAAGCCCATGTTTGCCCATGTTTCTACAATGCTGTCCTTGCACACATGAAAGATACACATACACTGCATTCACCTAGAAAGACATCTAAACACAGAGGATTACTCTATTTCTTTAAAAATGAGCACTGTGTCAGGCATGGTGGTGCCTGCCTGTAATCCCAGTGCTGGCTGAGAAAGGAGGATCCCAAGTTCAAAGCCAGCTTCAGCCATTTAGGAAGGCCCTATGCAACTTTGTGAGACCCTGTCTCAAAATAAAAAGGGCTGGGGATGTGGCTCAGTGGTTAAGTACCCCTGGGTTCAATCCCTGGTATTAAAAAAAAAAAAAAAAAAAAGCATTGCTCTTTGTTCCCAAATCACTAGTCAGTGGTGTGTGTCAGCTGGAGCATTTGGGCAGAAGACAGGTTCAAAGAAGTGCAGCCCCCCATACCTGCCCCACAACAGTTTGGGGGACATCTAGGTCCAAGGAAGTGCTACCCTTCCTATTGCCATGGGAATGGTGTGATGACTGTGCCCATGGGGTGGCAGAGGTTTAGCTCTAGGGTTAAAGTTGACAGTGGGTGGAGGTGCAGGAAGGGATCCATAGTATTTTGTGGGGACCATCAAGCAGCTCCAGGATCCTTTTGCCTGAAGTCCTAGTGAGTGTGCAAAATGGAGGTATTTGGGAATGCAGGTGGCAAGTCCTTAAGGCCAGCAGGTGCATTATTGGCTTTATTTCTCTAGACATAAAGTTGCAAAACATGTCCTGGAGTAGCAGATTAAAGTGGCCTGACTGCAGATGATGTATCTTTAATCTAAGCTTGGAACCAGCGAATGCTCCTGGGGCTGAGCAGCTAGCAAATTCACTTCCAGCCAGAGGCTCAGGAGAAGAAGCCAGTAGGAGCTGAAGGCAGGGAGTGCCTGGCCCACCTGCCTAAACTTGGGGTAAGCCAGGTCAAAAGTTCACTCGAGGAAAGAAGCCATCTTTCCCAAGCCTCTACTGGCTTCCAAGGCTGAGTGGGGGGTGGGGTGGGGGTGCTAAGAGCATACCCAACTGAATAAACATCCCCTCTCCAACAAACAATCTTGCAGTAATGTATTTGGAAAAATGCCTCCAGTTCAAAAAAAAAAATTCAAAAAATTGTTTAAAACTAGTCTTTAAAAGAGATCTTTATTATCTCAGTGTGGGAATAAGACTGGCAAATCGAAAATCCATATGAAACCAATTTCATGTAATTTTGGAGCCACGTATAATTTGTGTTTGCATGTGTATAATTGGTTTCAAATGCAGGTCCTTGAGATTCTGTGGGTGCTCCTAATTCTACAAGAAACATGCCCATCCCAGTTTGGGGACCAGGGCTTTCTACACAGAAGCAAAGGGGTACCCTTTGCCACTGGAAGTGGCAATCATTATTGCAAGAAAGAAAAGAAATGAATATTAAACAAGGGCTGGAGCTTCATCCACGCAGGAGTTGCTGTTTCTGAGTTTTGTTTCTTGGGTTCTGAATGATGCCAGGCTGTATACTTGCTTTAATGGGTGACAACCTGCTCAGTTTACAAAGCTTCTGGTAAAGAAGGGAATGCACTCATCTTGGTGCTTGCTAGAGGGAATAAACTCAGGGGCTAATGGGTGGTGTTTATATTTGGACATCCTGTCTTTTGCTTCCTTTCAACCCCTCTGAATACCTGCTTTAAACACAGAATACAAGGACTTGTTCTAATGACACTGACTAGGAAACAATCTCATCACAGAACAATGGCTATAGTGTGGGTTCTTGGGTTCCAGAAACCTACTTGCAGGAATACATTTGAAATAGATTTTGTGAGCTAAGAGTTGCACAGGCAAACGTGGAAACCCACTGGCTTGTGTCTCACTAGAAACTGTAACAAGGTTAATGCCACCATCATGGAGCAACACCTGCACTGGGTGTTGGTGTTCACAGCGGACTCCCTGGGGTGGTTTCACCTAACCTTGAATAGCTGTAGATTGTTGGGGATCACAAATCAATGGGGAAAAGAACTTCCAGTCAGAGACTCTGCTAGGCACTGAGGACAAATGTACTTTGATGACAGGTGCATAGGTGCCACAAGTCCTGTTCTTTGGAAGGAGACACGTATTCAGTAATTGTGAGCTAGCAGAAGCTAGGCATGAGACTCCTAAACCCTGAGATGAAAACAGTGGCATGAATTTCCCTGGAGATCCCTACCTCATTTAAGAAGGTACAGAGCCAATGATTAAATGGCTTACATGGTGTCTCCTGGAAACAATAGGTAAGACAAGGACACCCTGGTCCAGTACACAAGTTTCTTGAGACTCTCTGGGAAGTAAATATATCGACAGAACCCAATTCTCCTTCTCAATTCCAAATACTCATTACAAGCTGAGAGAGGCCAGATTGGACATTGAATTTGAACGTTCATTTCCAAAACGTAGTTTTCAACTGGAGGGCATCCTGCCATCTGTTCTGTTTTGATAGTAATGGGGATCAAACCCAGGGCCTTGATGGTGCTAGGCAAGCATTCTACTACCAAGTTACTCCCTCAGCCCCTGCATCCCACCATCTGACATAACAATTTTCATGGGCTATCTGCTTCATGATGCCGAGTTTCCCTGGTTGTTACCCATGTGGATGAGCATTTCCTGGTTGGAGACAGCTCTTTTAGGAAAAGGTAAGTGTTCTGCTGGTGAAGGCAAGGAGGAAGCTTCGAGAAGGGAATTCTGAAGCATGTGGTGGAAGGGATTAGTTAAGAAAAGACCCAGAAAGGAGAAAGGCCTGAATAGTCCATGGCCTCATAAAACCTGGGAGCTGGATGTATCTGCTTCCTTCAGGTTCTAGGAAGAAGTGGCCTGGTAGGATTTTTGGAGCCAGCATCTTAGGACAAAGGTGCAAGCCTGGCAAGTTACCATCAAATGCAGCGGTAATTTGGTTGGTCCCTTGGCAGAAATCTTCTCCCACAGGCCCCTTCTCACATAGCGGACAGTCGTGCCAGCAATCTGGAACTCTCCAGGGAGCTCTATCTTCCAGTCACTGTTGATGGATCTCTTACTGGAGTCTTTGAGAGCTAGAAAGGAAAAGGAACACTGAGGAATCAGCAGGGTGGAGGGATCCAGCCAGGCTTTAAAGGAACCTGAGTGCAGAGTGGGTCACAGGTCGCTCCCTCCTCAGGGGGAAGAAGGGAGACCTGCAGTGAGAGGCCCTGAGCTTCCTGCACAATAAGAACAAGGGCCCTGCTCACAGAGCAAGCACTCCAGGCCCAAGGGAAGGAGAGCCCTGGGGCTGATAATATTCAGATACAAAAAGGAAGGAAATCATCCATTCATCTTACTGTTACCTACTTGGAACTTTCGTGTCAAAGCCAACTCAAATATTCAGGGTTGGGGGGGCAGTGGAGGATGGGGACATCCACAACCCATTATATTGTGCTAAACTGATGTGTTAACAGTTTTCTGAGAAATTAATTTTATTTTAATGTGTTCAAGGCTACAACATGTGTTTTGCAGCTTCAGCCAAATTCATTCATTCATTTAAAAAATTAAAAAAATTAACATGTATTAATTATATGTGTTAATGGGGGTCTGTGTGATATTTCAATATATGCATACAACATGCATTGATCAAATCCAGCCACCCTTTATACATCTGTCACCTTTCCCAATCTCTTGTAATTGGTTATCTACATTCAAGTAATTTTTTTAAGCTTTCACGTATGAAAGAGAACATGAGTATTTATCTTCTGTGCCTGGCTTATTTCACTTGCCATAATGTCCTCCAGTTCTGCCACTTTGCTGCTAACCACAAGCAAGAAATGGGCAAAGACATAAATAGACACTTCTTTAAGAAATATAAATGGCAAAAAATATGTGAAAAATGCTCAAAATCATTAGTCTTGAGGGAAATTTAGCTTAAAAAAACTACAATGAGAGGTCATCCTCTACCAGTCAGGATGGCAACTAGCAAAACACAAAAGCCCCAAACCAAATAACAAATGCTGGCGGAGATGTGGAGAAAAAGGAGCTCTTATACACTATTGGTGGGAATGTAAATTATTCAGCAGTGATGTTTTGAAAACTAAAGTGTTTCCTCAAAAAATAAAAGTAGACCCATCATACTGCTATTCCATTTCCTGGGTCTATATCCAAAGGAAACGAGGTCAGCATACCAAAGATACCCGCAAACTCACGTTTACTGCAGCACCCCTCTCAAAGACAGAATCCATCTAGGTGCCTCAATGGATGAATGCATAATGAAACGTGGTCCATATTCACAATGGAATAATATTCAGATACAAAAAGGAAAGAAATCATCCATTTGTTCTACTGTTACCTACCTGGGACCTTTGAAGGATAGCAGCCTAACAACTCCAACACCTCTTAAGGATTTGATACCCCCCCCCCTTGGCAACCCCAGCTGTTCACAGCTATGAGGGTGCACTGGGGCTGAGTGTCGTAGAGAGTCCTGGGCTTCTGGTTCCCATATTTGCTAATTTATACCTCTGCTCAGTACAAGATGTGTGGGAAGAGACAGGGAATCCACATGCTGCCAAGTGATCACAGGAGCAAATCTGGTTTTCCTTTATCTTCTCATGTAGGTTTGAAATCCATATCATCATGAGGAGAACACTCTGTGATGAAATTCTATTTGTTCGTTGTTGTTGTTTAGGAAAAATGCCCTGCAAATGACTAGAACCTACTCTGACATTTAGAAGGCAGCAAATGACAGGAGGTACCAGTAAGTCTTGGCCTCATTTCCTACAATGAAACTCCTAGGGCACCCTGTCCCGAGCCCACTCTCTCCGTATGTGAAGCTGAAACCCCTGAAGCTCAAAGCATCTCCAGGTCACTTTGGAACCCTACTAGGTCTACAAACAATGAACTCACATTCCATGCCATTTACTGTTGTCTGCTCACCAAGGACAGAAATCAAATGTCCATGTGTAATGCCAATTTTGGATAATGAGAGTTGAAACCAAAAAGGGGTCAGTTGATGCTAGATTCATCAGTCCCAGGCTGGGTTAGGACCCTGAGGTTAGGTCCTGCTTGGACTAGAGGCAGCTGAGGGATGCTGGGCGGGCACTGGCCTTGCTTCCCTTGGTTCCAGGATGTCATGGTCCTGGTGCTAGTCCTGGCACACAGAGAAGATGCAGGTGGAGGGCTCTTTGGTTGTAGGAGGTGCCAAGAAGCAGGGCTATGTTCCAGCAAAGAGACTTCCCCTGCTTCTGTATCCAGGGTGGCTGTGATGGCGAGTGGCTGAGGATTATGGGACTCCAGGGAAGGCTTAGGAAAGAGAGTTCTATAACACTTGGAATCGAATCTGTTTCCCTTCAAGAAATTCGGTATACCCTCACTTGAAATTTTCTGGCTACTCAAAGGAGGTGAAAATACTGGGGACACTTAAAACTTTTATCTTCCAATATGACCTCCAGCTAAACACTATTTAAGGAATACATCTTCTGGTTTAGCTCTTTAATATACTATACCTATTTAATCTTCCCAATAAATACTTTCCTCACTTCATAGATGAAGAAATGCACAGCGAGGTTAAGCAAATTGACAAAGACACACAGGCTCTAAAGTTATAGAGATCAGAACCTAACAGGCCATGCCTGACACACTTATTGCACTGGCAACTTTTAATTCTCATCTGATTTAGGTCATAGCATTAGACTAGATGTTATGATATGTCATAATGCTGAAATGTGAGAATGTTAAGACTTATACTCAAGTAGAACAAATACCAGGCCCTAATTGCTACTGGCGATTGTATTCTATTTACCCTTATAAAAAATAACTAATCTCATGGATCTCCAAAGCTTCCAGTGAGCTAATCATCTAAAACATATTTGGTTATGTGAACTCATGGTGAATCCAGGTGAAGTACAACCTCTCTGTAGATTTGGAAAGTGGTTTCCCGCATATGCATGTACATATTTCATTTGAAGGGGTGGTGCAAGCTGGCGGGAAACAGACAAAAAACAAGGGGGCAGAGCCCTCTAAGAAACATTCAGAAAGAACAAGCTGGGGACACATGTGGCACAGCAGTGGCAGGCACCTGCCAGTCCCTCACCCTATTCTGAGGGTTTCCTGGTGGGGGCTAAAGACAAACAGCTTCTGCTTTCAGGGAGCTGACAGTTCAGAAGGAGGCAGAAAACAGGTCAATGGAATGTTTCCATCCTAACAAGAAGCACGTCCAAGGTCAGCAGTGCATGGGGACAGAAGCATTGGAAGAATCACCCTTTGCCCTGAGCCTGTCAGACCAGAAGGGGGAAGAGGTACCAGAGAGTGTGGCAGGCCTGAGGAGGCCACCAAGGGTTTCCCCAAGATCAGCTCCTGCAGCAGGGGAGCTGAGGGAAGAAGCAAACACAGGGGAAAGGGATGTCTCTCCAGAAGTCTGGCCAGGAAAAGGAGGCAAGCGATGGAGGGCAGCTATACAAGAAGGAGGGAGAGGTCACTGCTGTGAGAGGAGCAGAGGTCGCTGAACACAGGAGTCAGGTAGAGGAGCAAAATACCTCTTTGAAGCTGTGTGCTGCTCAGGTCTATGCCTGGCCCACCCCGGGAACCCCAGTGCCAGAAGCTGGGGCAGCAGCTCTGCTGCTTGCCTGGACCAACTCCTTAACCCAGCTGATCCTGCATTTATCAATGGTCACCCACATTCACTGGCCAATGCTGGACTTCCTGCCTTGGCCCAGGCCTTGGGTGTAGAATCCTGGCCCTGACCTGTTCCTGTTTTAAGGCCATTTTGAGTACCTAGTATACTTATTACCCAGCATCTATTTCTCTCCCTTCGAGGGAAACTCAAAGTTTCCCTTGGGAATATGTTGTCTCTCTAGTCACGTGAGGCTGATTCTTAACTGCACCCCAGCTCCAAATATGGGCCACCACCCAGTCCTGGTCAGCAGGACTTCTGTGCAAGGTGGATAGAAGCAGCTTTCTTTCCATAGGTTAACTATGGACTCAACGTAAGCCTGGATCTGCCACTACATGGGAAGAGGCCCCCAGAGAGGATGGGGTACCAGGATGGAGACTATTTCCTGTGACATGACTACATGTCCCTGGATCCACCAGTACCTGAAGTAAATGCTCAGCAACTGAGAAATGGTTTGGCTTTCATGCGTGTTTTGGAGGTTGGTTCTAAAATAATGCTAATCATAATGAGAGCCGAACAGGTGGAGAAAGAAAAATCACTGTAATGAATTCCTAGCAATCACTTAGTACTCCTTGAGACATAGAAGGCCTGGCACACTCTCATTATTCCATACTCTCTCCTCTGGGCCTCGGCTCCCGCCCCAGCAGTATCCTCCTGACAAGGCAGCTCTTTTCTGTTAGTTTTGTGTGCATATGTTCCCCGGTCCTTTTGGTAAAATGCTTTAAAGTGACTTATTGACTTGGAGAATTAAAACTACCCCACTTCATGCCAAAAGTCAAACATCTGCAAGGTCAAGAGTGGGAAGGGCTAGAAAAGGGCAGAGGGGGGCACACCTGGAGACAATTAGAAAACCATCTCTGGGACACCGCACAGAGGCATGAGGTTGGCGGGGGAAGCCCACTCCTGCCATGAAAGGCGTGGCTGTGGGGCAGACAGGGCAGCAGCAGCAGCCACAAGTGGAAAAGATGGAGGTGGAACCTGTGTGGACCTGTGCCTCAGCCCTTTGAGCACAGACCAGGTCTTGCCTGCCCAAAGGGGGTGGGCAGAAGAGACATTTTAGGAGGTGTTCTATAGGGATGGGAGAAGCCACAAGTGTCTGGGTAGAGTCTGCGAATTGAGGAGTGACATGAAGGAGCCAGCCTGTGGCTAATGGGATACCCTGGGGTATTCCTTGGCCACTGATGGAGAAGAACATAGTGAAATCTGCCTCTCTGGAAAAGATAGCTCCATGAAAGCACATGTTCCTACCAGATACGTAAATATCCTCACTCAGGAGTTCTGGTTATTCACTTGCCATTGGTGAACAGGAAGTTAGGAAGCTGGGAAGAGACTTCACTGTTGACTCTCACAAGCCACCTGAAGCTCTGAAGATGACACTCTGCTTTGGAGGTGCTGATTGGCAGCTGCGGAGCTGGGGAAATCGCAACTCTTACATTTTCTGAAAGAAGGAAATCTGTATACTTAAGGACTGATAACGTAGTCCACTTGGCCCCACCTCCCCAACAAAGAGCTGACAACCCTTCCCTCAAGACTGTTGCTATTGATGACATTTGCTCATTCATTTCTCATTGGAAGGAAAGCAGGCAGAGTCAAAAGTAGGAAGTCGGCAGCTCCAAGAGATATAGAGATCACTTCCAACCTTTTCAGTGGGAGTAACTTAGTCAGCAAGATATAAAATTTGCAAGTTCCTGTGGTCTGTACTGAAAAATCAGAACTTTCCACTAAAATCAAGAATTTGGTGCCTGATATTATTTCAAAAGGGTGAGACTTCAGTCTCAGAGTCTGTTGGGATGTCAAGATTACTCATAACAGTGAACAAACAGGTCCAATGTGGAGTTCAATGGTGCAATGACTTGGTGAACTCTCACCTCCTGTACCCTTGTGCAATAGTGAGGGCTGCTCTCCTTCCTTCTGTGAGCTGTGCAGAGCAGGCTTGGTTGTGCTTTCAAAGCACCTCTATTTGTGAGTCCCTTCCAAGGCCTTGTGCATAATGTGTCCTTTTTCTTTTCTTTTTGTACTAGGGATTAAATCCTCCAGCACTTGATCACTAAGCCACATCTCTAGCCAGTTGTTTTTTTTTTTAATTTTTAATTTTGAAACAGGGTCTCACTAAGTTGCTGAGCCTGGCTTTGAACTTGCCATCCTCCTGCCTCAGCCTACAGGCATGTACCACAGCATCCAGCAAGCATCCTTTTTCTTAAAGAAGACCCCCCCACTTTAAATAAACTCGAGGTTCCACAATTTCCTGCCCCTCTCAATCCTTAGGCATCAATGGGTAGAGCCAAGTCTCCTTTGTCTGAAAGCACTTGAAATGCAATTAGTTTGCATTTGCAATCAGAATTTGGGGATCCAGAATAGACTCAACAGGGGTAATCAAGATGATTACAGATGCCTTTTTTTTTTTTTTTTTGAGAGAGAGAGAGAATTTTTTAATATTTATTTTTTAGTTTTCGGTGGATCCAACATCTTTATTTTATTTTTATGTGGTGCTGAGGATCAAACCCAATGCCCTGCGCATGCCAGGCGAGCGTGCTACCGCTTGAACCACGTCCCCAGCCTAACAGATGTTTTTATATCGCAGGCAAGCAACAGAGTTCAGAACAAAGGCAATTCCTCTGGCCACTTGATTATATTTGCTAAGTCTGAAGTTCTGATTTGCTGGGGAGATTTCTCCTTGCTGCTTCTACCTGGGCCAGAGGTTAGATGTTTTAAACCACTGTCCCCCAAAAAATAAGAGTGCATGCTTTTGTGGATATTGCTCAGAAGCCTCTCAATGATTGGAAAGACTTTTATGGGGCACCATAAGGGTGGGATTCACACTTTACCTTGAGACTATGGCTGAACAAAACCCTCTAAATGGCTGAGAATGCAAGGTCAAATGCTGAATGACAGGTCGTTTGGGGGCTCTTCTTCTTGGTGGACATTTATGCATCATTCCTGGATTTCCAGGCTCTACAGGGGAAGACAGTGAGTCATACTAGGGAGTAAGGAGGGGGCATTCCTCACGGGGTGCCCCAACAGAGCTGGCTGCTGGCAGATGTGAACACCCAACCTGCTCACATGACCTCCCTTGGCACCACACTGTGAAGAAGCTGGGGTGGTTCTCTCTTTGCTTCTCTCCCTCCTGAATTCAACTGGAAGACCTGACCCACAGCCAACCTACTTCTAATCCTGGCATCCAGTCAGCTCCAGCTCCTTTTATTTCTACTCGGAGTTCTGCCAGCTCTGTTCCTAGCTATGGATACAAACTGCAGAGGCATTTCCTGTTCCAGGTGGTTTTGAGCAGAAAGCCAGCCAGTGTGGGTTGAAGGTAGGTGGGGTAAAATTCTTCAGGAACTGCTCCCAGCAAATATGAGAGTAATTCAAAGTTATACTGGGTCGACTTCCAAAGCACCCGGCCCCAAGTGGAAACAAGGCTTGTTGGAACGAACTAAGTTTAGAAACATAACCAGCATGGACCACCTTCGGGCTTGCTCTTGTCCATGTGCCAGGCCCCAGAATATTGGGATTATGATTTTTTTTGGATAAGATAAGGGGACCAAGGCTGACTCCAAGCTCCCAAGGAGGTTTAGGGCTTCTGGGGAGCTAAATTGTTCAGAGACATTTAAACCAATGTCCTTGGGATCGAGACTGGCTTCTCTGAAGTGCACACGATGAAGTAGTAACTAGGTACAGGCTTATCATGTATTTTTCAAGGAAAATGCTTTTCCATCTGTCAATTTCTGGTCCTGATTGGACACCACTGAGAAATTCTGAGAGGCTTCATGGGTTGCAGTGAACTCAGAGGAAAGGAGGAATTTGGACACACTAATAAGCCTCTTGGAACTTCAGTTTGCAATTCTATAGCACATTTACTGGGATTAGGGATCAGGCTTCTAAGGCACAGCTTGGCTCAGTGATTGGGAACCACTATTATGGGTGTCACTGTTCCTATTTGCATGTGTGGTCCATAGGCTTCTGAAGTTAACAGGGACAGTTATGAGAGCTAGCCATTCTGGGCAGCATCCACCTGTTGTTACTTGGTGACCCTAAGGTGAGTTTCAGTAAAGAGTTCATTTTTACTCTAGGACTTAAAAGGATTCTGATCCCCTTCTGTTATTCTTATACTGTCACAGAAAACCTTTTTTTTGTTGTTGTTGTTTTCTCCAGGCATTTGGGACTGGGGTCAGGCAGGGGAATGGTGTTGGAAAATCTCAGAAGCCAGAATCTGAGGCCACAGCTCTTATATGCAGGGACTCCTGCTGGTGCTTTATGGAAGAACCAACAGGTTGACCTCAGAATTGGGTTAGATCTTAGAATAACCAGATTATGATTTTGTGAATAAGGATAAAAGGTGACCTCAGCCTCCTGTGGAGGTCCAGTGTCCCTTACAGCAGAAATGTCATTCCAGGTAAGAATAGTACATCCCCAATGCACCAAATGGGAAGTATAACTTTTGTGGTAACATTAGGTGATGGGGCTTCTGATGCCAACATTGGTGAAGTTGATCCAGTTTCTTTAGGTGGGCAAAAAGAGAAGGGCTGGGCTCTTTGGGGGTGGGCCATCACTCAGAGGAAACTGCCAAAAGCAGCACAAGCCCCATTTCAGATAGCATTTATAAGCATTGTTCTATTTGTAGAGTGACAGCTGGGACAGCTGGGGAGAAGTGTGCCAGGCTTGGCTGGGACAGTGTCCATGCAGGAGAGGTTGGGAAAGACTCCAGGGCTGACAAAGACCAGCATGCATGTCCACTTGAGAGATGGCAAGGTCCTACCCTGGCAGCAGGAAAAGCAGCTGCCATCAACCTGCCAGCCCATGGGATGGGGGCAGTGGGGGCAGGCAAGAAAGCTGCAGAGGAAGAGCAAGGCTCCTGGTACCCAGGAGAGACACCCAGGGGGGCTGGGGTGCAGCGAGTCCTCCTGCCTATTCCTAAGGCAGGCATTTGTGGAGTGTCTTAGTGCTTCAAGTATTTCCAAAGTCTTACATAACAGGATTGTGGTCTTCACTGTACACTGGCCTACTGGGGATTTGCTTTTTGTCTGCCTCATTAGACTCTGAGTTTCTCAAGTAGTGACCATTTCACAGAAAGGTGTGGATCCTTTGTTGCAGTCTACAAAGGCAGGGAAGCGGACAAAGATGCATCTGTTTTCTGTCAGTGATAAAAATGGAAATAAAAGGATCTCTTGGGTCACTGTAATTTAACCCAAAGAGTTTGAAACCACAGAAATCAAGCCTTTTTTTCTTTTGCTTTCTGTTTGAATCTCAAACAGCAACTTGCAACACAGGTTGAGAGATTATGATATAAAGGGAGCTTTGAAGAGAGGACCCTGGGTTAGAAGATCAGCTACCTCTAGTTTGAAATTGAACCCAATCCAGGAACATGGGATTGGGGCTGGCAAATGAACATGGTGGTAGTATTTCTATCCTAGTGAACCAAGTGCAGGGGCAGTCTCTGGGTGCACTCCTGCCTGTGGCCCACCTCCAAAGAGCCCAGCCCTTCTCCTTCTGCCCACCTAAAGAAACCGGATCAACTTCACCAATGTTGGCATCAGAAGCCCCATCACCTAGGTGCAGTAAAGAACACTCACTGTTCAACTCAATGCTCCAACCATCCTGGTTCTTGAGGACCAGGCTGACCTTTGCTGGGGTCAATGGTGAGGCTGGAGATTAAACTTAGGACACATTCTCCGTATGAGTAAAGGCTTCGCTTAGTGATTCTTCTTAAGTTTTTAGGCTTTAACCATGGTTCTACAGAATGTAACAAAGGCCATCCGGGAATGGAATCCCATTCTGTGCAGAGATATAGGTACTTGTGCTGGAAGTCAATGGAGTTGGGGAATTTGGGGCACACAGAACTAAGTAAAAAAACATATTATTCTATGTTTCTATTCAATTTATGGTTGTTGCTCTTTTCCCAGCACAGAGGCCATCCCCAGAGCCAAGGACAGCCTGCAAGCACTTCCTACAAGTGGGGTGCTGGATGCATGCTGCTTGGGCTCCTGTTGGATAGGGATCTATTGGGGTGACTTTGGGAAACCGATGCTACCCCAGGGACTCATAGCTTCCTTTACTCTTCTGTCATCATTTTCCTTCTTGTTCAAAGCTTAGTGCTTCTGATTCCATCCCCCATGATCCATATTTGGCTGCACTTTAGCCAAATATGATCGAACTATTTTGTCCCTTTTGAGTACTCAGGTCATTACAACTAAAGGTCAGGTGTAAAGTTAGGGTTGACAGGGAATCAAATTTAGCAGGCTAACCATCAAAATCAATTCTCAGAACATAAATTGTGAATTAAATCATTTTTGTTTTACCCAGAAAACTGTGAGCAGGTTTATCTTCCACCACCCGGATCCTCCGAGCTCCAGCAGGAATGACGGCAGCTTCGATATAACCTGTGGCAACGAATGACAGACAAGTGAACCACACCTCCATCCTGGACCAAGTGCCTACACAGCATCCCCCACCCAAATCCACTCTATCACACCCGTGTGGTGGATTCAGAGACTGCAGGTTGGAACCTCAGAAATCAACGCAGACAATTAATGTGCCGTGTTCTCTCTTCTACAGCCAAACCTCTTGTCCATCCAGTTTGCAGAAAGTGCCAGCTGTATGTGACATAGGTTGAACTGAAACTCCTCTCCCTTGAATTTATATGTTGAAGTCCTCACTTCCAGTACCTGAAAGTGTGACATCATTTGGAAACAGGACAATTGCAGATGTACTCAGTTAAAATGAGTTAGGATGAGTCTTTAATCCAATATTACAAAAGATTTTTTTTTAAAAGGAGAAATTTGAACACAGCCATGCACACAAAAGACACCATGAGAACATAAAGGCAAGATCAAGTGGTGCTTCTTTAAGCCAGGAATGCAAGGTGCCAGCAAACCACCAGGAGCTAGGAGAAAGGCCTGGAATAGATTCTTCCTTGTAGGCTCAGAAGGACCCAACCTTGCCAACACTGTGATCTCACATTCCCAGCCTCTGGAATGATGAGTCAACAGTTGGTTGTTTATGACACCTGGTTTGTAGCACTTTGTTACAGCAGCCCCAGCAAACGAGTACAGCCTGGAATTTCTCATGAATTACACCTCTCTGGTGAGTAGGTGAGGAGGACTCTGATTTCAGAGTGAGGTTCCTTTACTCTCTTCTGCAGTTTGACTTTTCTCTGAATATCCCAGGGGATGACAGCAGAAGCTAAGCAACTTGGCCTATGTATGACGAAACTATTTCTTATCCTGTGAACTGTTTTCTGAAAACAGTCATTTCTGTAACTCTCACAGTATAGACATTGGCCCCCTTTCTTGATTTTTTTTCCAAGTAGAGTGGGAGCTGCCCATGCTCTGACTGCTGGGTGCCCAGAGGGGAGGTATCTTGAGGATTCAGGGAGGAAATGACTGAGGCTGCCAGGGCAGAAGTCAGCAACTGGTTAATGCCTTGTTAACTCAGCAACTGAATCAATAAATGAGCTCAACATGACACTGAGATTCTTAAATGCAGGCTAATAATCATTAAAAAAATTTTTTTTTTCATTTGCTTTAGCAAATGAGATGAGGAGCTCAGTTTAGATCATGAATCCTATCCCTGTGGTTCCCAAATGCAATCATCAGAATCGGCAGAGGAGTTTAACCTCCACAAAAAAATTAGAGATGTCTCAGCCCAGCTCCATAGATTATGGAAATATCTAACCCAAGGGGTTTATTTATTTATTAATTTTCCCATACTGAAGTGGCTTTATTTTTATTGTAAAAATAGTACATGACAATTCAAACAACATAAGGCATAAATCAAAATCTACCTATACCACATCACACTAAGAAAATCACCTCTAAGTGAATAATATTTTGGTGTTCGATCATTTTTCAGCATCTCTTGGTGTATATACACCCATTATTTTATGTAAATTGGGTATTATGTGTGCTTTTAAGACACTAGGAACAACTTTAAAATACAGTCATGTGCTATATGAACTTTTATGTAAAACTAAGCCAGTGACATGTTTATAAAATAATAATAGTAACTTTTTTTTGTTGTACTGGGGCTTGAACTCAGGCGTGCTTTATCACTGAGCTATATCCTCAGTCCATTTTTTACTTATTTTTTGAGACAGGGTCTCACTAAGTTGCTGAGACTGGCCTCAAACTTATGATCCTTCTGCCTCAGCCTCCCCAGTCACTAGAAATGAAGGCATGTGTCACCACTCCCAGCTAATAGTATCTTTATGAAAGACACCAACCCACACATAGTCTATGCTGTGGGAAATGTGATTACAATATACCTGCTCTGAAGTTTTTGTAATATCTGGGAGAAACACAATATGATGACCTCGGTAATACACAAAAACACTGGGCTGACTTCCATATCTCAGCACTCTAGAACAAGAGAGAACTTTCTTTAACCTCACAAGTGACAGGGGTCACATTCTCACGGTGAACCATCTTTTCAATAGGAAGTGCTCCCACATGTGTTAAATGTTACTGGTGAGAATGTACATCCTCATTCTGTATCTGATTACAGTAGGAATACTTATATTATTTTTTCATTTGACTATAAAGTGGATTTAGTGTTATCTATATGGGAACATAGAATGTATAACATAATGTTTCACATCTAACAGGCATTGTGTATAATAAAATCGTATGATGGAAGTATACATGTATTACCATAATAAGAGTTTTATTAGGAATGTAGGTTGAATTTTGTCATATGCTTTTTCTATATCCAAGTGAAAGATTATTTTATTTTCCTCTCACTCTATTAATACTACAATTCTATGTTCTAATTTTCTATTTAGCATATTTCCTAATAACAAAATAAGTCCATACTTCTAGAATAAACCTTACTAGATCCTAATGTTTTTAATATGCTGCTGAATTTTGTTATTTTAAAAACTAATATTCATATTATTCTATTTATTTTGCAACATCATTTGTAAGAATGGTTGGCAATTTTGTGTATGCTTTCTTTACTGAATTGAATTTTAGTATTGGTATTCATCATCCTGATTTAAGAACAATTATCATTTTGGTACTTGTGCTTGAACACAAGAACACTTCACCGAGCCACATTCCCAGCCATTTTTAGTTTTTATTTTGAGACAGGATCTCACTAAGTTGCTTTGGGCCTCGCCAAGTTGCCCAGGCCAGTCTTAACTTGTGATCCTCCTGCCTTGGTTTCCTGAGTTGCTAAGAATACAGGCGTGCACCACTGTGCCTTGCTTATTCTTGATTTAATAAAAAGTGTTTTCTGTACTTCTTCTGAGATAGTTTATCTGCATTTGATTTTCAATTTTATGTACACATAAATCACAGTTGGTTATTAAGATTTTTCAATTGCTTATTTCAAATCAGTTTTAAACTTTTTTGAGAGAGAGAATTTTAAATATCTATTTTTTTTTTAGTTTTCGGTGGACACAACATCTTTTATTTTTTTATGTGGTGCTGAGGATGGAACCCAGTGCCCTGCGCATGCCAGGCGAGCGCGCTACCGCTTGAGCCACATCCCCAGCCCCCAGTTTTAAACTTATTTGCAGAATTGAACAAAGTAATCTCTTATGATACACTAATTTCCTATTATTTATGTCCCTATTTTTCATAATTTTACATATTTGTATTCTCCTACTTTCTCTTTTGTTCACCAGAGGATCAAACAGCAGATGAATATACTATTTAGTTCACTCCTCCATCCTCTCCCCCACTGATACGTTTTATTTTTTATTTCAATGTTTCTCTGTAAACCTTCATATTTATATTTCTATTTTGTGACTTATGAGCTGTAAATGAAATTTGTTAGTCCTTGAATATTAAAAAATGAGAAAATCAGCATAATACACTGCACTCCACTTTCACCCCATTTCAAATTTCATTACATCATTTCTATGTTGTATTAGTGGATGACATCTATCTTTGGCTTTCTAAGGCAACTTCCATAGTTGCTCTAGTCTTAGTTCTAAGGATGAATTTATGTTCATTATGTGTCCTTTTGCCAATTTCTCTGACAAATTCTTGCTTGTCCAAGTTTGTTCCCTTTGAGATAGGCTTGTGGAAATTATATTTTCTTAAATGTAATGTATTAAAAGATTATGGTTAATTGACCTTCTACTAGAGTGTCAGTTTGGCTGGTATAAATTTTGGGGTCATACTTTCTCTGAGGCTTTTGCAGAAATTGCTTCCCTGAATGTGATGTGATGAAGTCTAAGGACAATCGGATACTTCTGCATTATTAGTTACTTAAAATTTAGATGGGATGCTCCAGGGATTCTTACTTGCAAGGGTCTAATAAGCTTTAGGCTATTCACAGTTTGATATCAACTTTTCCTGGGATACAAGGCTGTATTATTAGAATAGTCACCTTTCAGTGTCTGTGAGAAATTGGTTACAGGATCCCCTTAGGGATACCAAAACCTGTGAATGCTCCACCTGTCACAGAAAATGGCATAATGTTTGCATATAACCTATCATTATCCTCCCACATACTTTAAATAATCTCTGTATGAGTTATAATATTTAAATATGATATAAATCCTCTATGGATAGTTGTTATATTGTTTAAGGGATATTGACAAAAATGTCTGCTCATGTTTAATAGAGATTTAATTTTTAAAAAATATTTTCAATCCATACCTGGTTGAATGTGCAGATACAGAAATGGTGGATAGGAAGGACCAAGTGCATACTTAATTTGTTTTCTGAGTTCTTCTTTTTTGGGGGTGGGCATCAAATTTATACATGTTTTCTTCCACAGTGTTCATTATATCCCTTATACTCTGGACTCTCCGTTCTTTTCCATTTTGCTGTGCTTGCTCTTCCCAGTCAGATCCTCTGTGCTCTTCATGGTGTTCTGCAGGGTCGATTTTCTCTGCATTCACATGGACTTGGTTTCTGTGATAGATTCATGAGCTTCTTCCACTTCTTTCCTCAACTCTGTCAGGTCATATTTCATCTCCCACTGCTGCTGGATGGTATCCCTTTGTCTTCCTTGAGGTCTTGTATTTTACTTACAAGTTCTTATTTTATTGAGGTTATGTTTTAATCAGTTTTTAAAATTTATGTCATACATTTGGTTACAGTTTTCATCTTTTTCTTGGTCACCTTTTGCTGGTCTATTTTAAATGTCATTTTTCCTTGTACTTTTTATCTTCCACTGATTACAGTGTATTATATAGATTACAGTGTATTATATAGATCCTGTGCTGGTTCTCTTTAAAATTTTATTACTAATTCTTTTTTTTTCTTTTTTGTGGTGCTGGGGATTGAACTCAAGGCTTTATGCATGTGAGGCAAGCACTCTACCAACTGAGCTACATCCCCAACTGTTTACTACCAAATTTTAAGTGAGAAAAGTTCTGACTGTACCTCTACTTGCAGTAAATAGTTTTGTGTGATCAGGAGGGACA